CTCGGGTAACATTTCCTGAAGTAATGCAATGCTTATTTCGTGAAAGAAGAATTCCCTCGTAGCAATTGAGTTTCGTGAAAGAATCCTTTAACTGATTGTTCTGAGTGTTTTGTACATTATTATTATTATTATTATTATTATTATTATTAATGTCATTATTATTATCATTATTATTACTACTATTATTATCTTCACTTAAGTGCCCGACACAAAAAATGGATGGTTATGCCATTCGTGGGAGTGTATCGGCGTTTTCTTCTTACCTATCGTCTGAGTGATTCGCCTAATATTCTTATGTGGTATAAGCTTCGTAATTTCTCTTATCACGTGAATATCATAAACGATGTAAAGTACCTAAAATCCAATATGGGGGAAGGTGGGCTCCAATTTGCAGATTTATTATCAATAACAAAATTATATTTTTAACCACAGAGAAATGACACGAATTCAGGTGATTTTCTACCATTTTGTTTATTTCCTTTACATTTGGCGTCCGGCTCGGACGGAGACGTTAACAATCGGCGGAAAGTGGTGCTTGTTTAATTGCATCGCTCGCTCGTGTTTCGTAAGAGTGGAACAGAAGAAGTTACGTGCTGCGGCCACATAAGCGACGGAGCGGTGGCCTTGGAAGGCGGCCAGAGCGACAGCTGATGGTTGTGATGATGAGAGGTGGGAGAAGCACAGCGCAGTTCGTTCACAGGCGCTCGCAACGACACCGCAGGGCGAGAGTGCGGAAAACAAAACATTAAATGTAAACTAGCGAATCCATGTCTTCCCTATCCTTCCGTTTCTATACTAAGGGGAAGAGTTGTTATTCCAATGTACTTACAGATTGCCGAATAAAAAAAATACAAATGATATTTGAAACAAATCTTCAATAACCTCGCTCTTATAGTCAGTTGTTCTTGGAATAATTCACTATCAATGTCAGGAAAAATAAAATACCGTTGATTGCGATGTGAGGAACTCAACATTTTAAGGCCCTAGAACGCTTGGTTTTCGAGATATGTAACTATATAGATTTCAACAAAGCTACCCGAGTGTTGCGGGTTGTATTTGTTATGAATGATTACATGCTTTTGTTAAATAAACAAATCGTTCATATTTTTAAAGTCAAAGTGCTTTTCGTTTCGTCTCTGCGAAATTCTCTTTAGAGACCTCATTTATATATTGGTTGCGCGTGAGAGCCGAAAAAACACATCTAAACTATTAAAATAAAAAAGGAGAGGATGAACCTCTAATGGTGATAACAACTAATGTTTTTAAGTCTATTCAGTCAGTGGCGTAGCTAAGTCCTTTGCGGGTTATCCCGACTGCATCCCGCTGTCAACATTTCCCAACCTTTTTCCTACCTCCCCCAAAAGGCATAGCCCGACTGTATCGCGTTCCGTTTTCCTTCTTAGTGTAAGGATTGATTTCTACGTTTCAGGTGGTCTGCTTAGAATCACATTCATCGATTAATAAATTTATCCACTTCTGTCTGTTTTGAAGAAACATACGGATGTCCTTTTAGAGCACAGCCGATGTTGGATACCTCCACTTAAAAGTTTCAGGAAACAATACATGAAATCACTAATCAGGAACATCGTCTTACCTCACTCACTGATCATACATAACTCCGAAGATTCTGCCATGTTCACCTGCGTCCTGTTCCACCATGTTCACCTGAGGTTTTCTGTGGGTTGGTGCGAGAACATGTATTTGCGTTACTTATGAATGCAAACTAAAATGTTTACTCCTTCCGAAGCACCGGATGAAAGAAAGAGGATGCAGTCGGGTTGTGCCTTTTCAGGTAACGAAAAGGGAAAGGGGATGAGCTAGGAAGCGGGAGAAAATGAGGGAAAACCGATCGAGGGATGCAGTCGGACAATTCCCGGGTCTATGAGGTCCATTCGCTTTGACGCAGTTCTGGATGCAAAATACTGCTTCTCACCCTCGCCAATTCAAGTTCGGAACGTTCAACGAGCCTTTAAAAGACCTCTTTTATCCAGGGTGTTTTACGAGCAGTTGCTCGTCAGCCCGAAGATATCACGCAGTCTATTGTTCCGAGACTATACATGCGGAGAACGCAGCCATAAGTAATGTTATGGAAGCACGATAACCAGAGGCTTCTGCGTTGCTTCAAAAACATCTCTACAAAGCACAAACACGACTAAATACTTGGGAAGAAGAGCAAATGGAAGTAAATCAAGTCATTTTACTTCCACCATTACGAGAGCAAACGAACCGAAATAATCTACTTCAAACAGATTCAGTGAAATATTTAGGTGTTCATCTTGATACGAGACTCATGTGGAAAAAACATATTATGTAATCGAAAAGAGCTCAAGAGCTCCTGTTAATATACAGAAAATAGTTTGTTAGTCTGTCAGAAATCAGTGTTACCTTTACGCACATATTATTTGTTAATAATTCTTAAAACTTGTTTGGATTTACAGTATACAGCTCTAGGGCACCAGTAGCAAATCCAATATCCACATGATCCAAAGATATTTGTAAAGCGTTACGAAACATGATATGGCTGGGTAGCCAAGGTCGGTAAGGCAGTATGTTCGTTAGATCGACCACGGTGAAGTACCCCAAAAATACTTTAAATGAAAGAAAAACCTCTGTTCTTCAAGATGGTAATGAAAAAATTGGCCCTTACCGACCAAATTTTTAAATAAAAAAAGTTTAAATTAATATCTTATGGGGAAATGTTCTCGGGCATATGTTTTTTAAAGTTATTGAAGAAGTTATAAGGTGAAGTAACCTTTTTTCTTTTATTCACTACGTAGTACATTTTTTTAAAGAATCAGATGATATTAATTGTAACATACCTCACAAGGCATTCTGAGGAGTAATTGATAATAAACTGCCGCGAAACCCATCGCAAATTTCTAGTAGTTGTAGAAATGACGCTATTTCGCTTCGGGCACAAGAAAAAACACCCTAACTTAAAATTGTATGCCGCGCACTATTTGAGGATAATTCACTTTCAATGTAAACAATGTGGACTAATATTCAACGCAGAAAGAACGAAAAATACGAGCGCCAAAGTCAACCTAACCTGTATTGAGAATTGCCAACCTATGGAAAATCGCGTGGGAGACCAAGTTTTGTAGAAAACCTTGTTTTTCCAGAGCAGGGGCTGAATATACCAACAACTACGACTGAAGTGCCGTTGCAGACTCAGCTCGAAGGGTGGCGGGTTCGAATCTCGCCTCGGGCATGGATGTTTGTGTTGTCTTGACGTGTTCCCCATAAAGTTCCTCCTACAGTTTGAAAACCACAGTAGTCGGACCTGAAGAAATGGCAATGCTTCCAGGTACATACGAAACAACGTGATTCTCATCGATTTTAAAATGCTTACAGTTGATACAATTATAGTTATAAATATTTTTTGTTGAGCTCTCCTCTTGCTAATCGTGCTATAAATAGATCCTCAGGAATGGGTTGCTAGATTGTTAGAAATTCTATGCAATCAACTCGATAGTTCGATTACTGACCCTAAGTGTTCTATTACTTGGAAGCGAAAATTTCTGGTTCAGAATTAGTATAATAAAATCTAAACCCCAAATCAAATTTACGCAACATAAATGCATCATAGGCAGTATTTCTTTACCTCCAAATATCTACCCCCACTCCTTTAATAACATTAGTTGAATTCGGAACGAACGTTGTTGACAAAGTGAGTTGACAGAAAATATTCTCTCCTGGCAATAGAAACTATTTTGCGTCGAAAAACGAGCTACAGATTTGAGGCAATTGTCCTGTGAGCAAAATAATTAAAACCCCACTCCTCTGACATCTAGTGATGCGACATCGATAACAAAACATCAATGTTAGTAAACATCAATCTTCAAAAAAAAAAACATCGATATTAATAATACATCGGCTAAAAACATCGATGTTTTTCATCATCCATGTTTTCAAGCTAGTTTAAAATATATTCGTGTGCAACAAAATTTAATTTAACAGTGTTCATGGTTATCAATTCCCCGAATAAGTGTATGAGAAGAAGGGGAAAACCCTAGCCAACGCATTTGTATAGCACATGTTAAAGCGGTTATCTCGGGCGAGTGGTCGATGAAAATAGTACAAACAGCGTTCCTTTGCTTCCAACACGTGTATTAACAGTATTATCATCACATTATTATTTCATATTTTAACTTTTACAGTACTGTGATCTTGAGAATTTCTCATGCAGAAAAACACATCGGAAAAGAAAAAACATCGATGTTAATACGATGTTTGTAGAGACATCGATGTTCTGAAAACATCGGCATCGTTGTCTTCTCCCTACCCGCATCTGACGTATTGAGGGCTGAAGAAAACATGCAATTGCAATGTATAGGACTTACTCTAAGAACGGACCCCTTTGACAGGTCGGTAAATGAACGTTATCCAGGGCGATTACATAGCAAGAGAGTGATGAAGCCATTTACAAACGAGCTAACTGTAAGCGAACGCACTCACGAAATTACTGTGTAGACATAACCTGCAATGGCTGTCAGAGTCGGTGTCTTCTTATACTAGTAATCTCCAGGGGCCGCATTTTAATGAACTTCTTTTTTCTTCACTATAGAACAATGCCGTTTAGAACCGAAAATTTCCTGACAACCCTTTACGATTTCGATAGATGAAACCTCGATTACATCAGTTGCATATCCAATTGAGTTGTTCATCGGAACTGGCTTAGATGACATTTTTTACGTTATTTTTCCTTGCTTCCAGGGCATTTTAAAAACATGTTAAGAGCGTTATATTGATCGTTTCTGGCGACGTTTAAGGTCATCAAAATCCGTCCCGAATACTTGGATTTCTCTATTGTGGCCGATGGAATTATGTTATAATTGCAACTCGTGCCTTGTAAAATGAAAATTAATTGGTTCGCGACCGACCTCAACGGGGGTTCGTGGCCCCTGAAATGCGCTTAAAACAGATTCATTTTACCAGGCAGGATGTGTACCGGTGGCCTAATGTCAATCTGTGTGCACCCGCCGCTGGGTCGCACTCACCACGCAGGGCTGCTCCGAGAGATGAG